GTGTGTGTGTGTGTGTGTGTGTGTGTGTGTGTGTGTGTGTGTGTGTGTGTGTGTGTGTGTGTGTGTGTGAGTGTGTGTGCGGGGGAGGTGTGTGTGTATGGGTCAGTGCGTGTGTGTGCGGGCGCGGGTGAGTGCCAAGGATTGTGTCAGAAGGTCACCGCGACAGGCGCACCGGCGTCTTTGCCGTGCCAAGGGGGCGGCGCGGCGACAATCAAAAAGCAACTCCTTGCAGCAGCGCCAGAGGGTCGACGGCTGAGCGGCGCCTCAGTCCCCGATCATCGCCGCGCCAGCCCCCGGCGTGCATGCGCCACCAACCCACGGCCGCGCGCCTGGTGACGTCACAGCCACCCTCAACCCCCCCAAATCCCCGCCCCAACCCCTCAGCCCACCTGCTGGACAGCGCCTGACCGATCTTCACAAATGCCGGCCCCAGCCGCACCAGGCTCTCCCGCGCGAGGGCGGCTTCCCGGCGCTCGTTGCTGCCCGGAAGCTTCGCGGAAACCGCCCATCTGTGCGGGCGGCCGCGAGGCAGGGCGGGGATGCGCCGTCGAGCGGGACAGCTAGCCACGCGGCGCATTTCTCGGCATGCGTGTGCTCTTGTACTTGTTGGATCCATTTCCCAGCTGGACAAAGGTGCATGTTCTTGCACACACGCACACATGTGTGCGTAATGCATGCACCTGCTCCGCACCGCAGCGCGTTCGGATGTCACACCCATGCGCATGTCGGAGAGCTGCACACATGCGCCACCCCGCCCCTCTGCCCACCTCGCCAACTCCGCGGCGATAACGAGGCACCGCGCCACCACGGGCACCGGCCGCGTGTTCCAGTAAGCCGCGTTGGCAGCTGCGTCATAGCTGCCGCCCGGCTGCATGCCCGGCAGGTCTGGGGGAGCCACATGGATGTCGTCTCGCAGCGCCTCCGCCTCCTCAAAAACAGCGGCGGCGGGCACGACCGCGCCACGGGGCCGGGCTGTGCTATACCGTTGGCAGAACGGCTGCTGCAGCTGCCGCGTGACGCCAAGCGGCGCGGCTGCGGCCCGGCGCCAGGGGCGAGGCTGCTGCAGGGCACTTGCCGTTGCGTGGCATTGCGTCGCAGTCGGCTTCGACCCCAGCCGGACACGACGCGGTCCTCCCACCGCTACCGGTGAGACATGAGTCCCAAGCATACTATTCAGCCTCCACGCGTAGCGCTTGCTTGCTCTTCAGGCGCTTGAGATGCTCTTGATCTGGGCAATGCACTTGGGCACGAGCCTCAATGACCCAATAGTGCTATTCGCAACCGATCACAGTAGAGATCCTCATTGACCTCACTGCGTGCGCACTGCCGGCGTAGGTGAAATCCTTGGCTGATTCAACGCTGATCGGGACACGCACAGCCTGTGCCGTGCCTGCTGGCTGCTGTTACGGAGTGTATCATATGTGCGCAGTTAAGCTGTTTGAATGAACTTGTTGGTTCGAATGTGTTGGTGATGTCACACATCCCGGCCGAGTGGCTGCGACTGCTGTTGACGTGTCAGCTCATTGGCTCATTGGCTGACGAATGTGATGCAACCGTCAATACAACCAGCATCGTACCAAAAGAGGAGGCGGGCGCGGCAAACTCCATGTCCTGTATGCAACCGTATGCTGCTAGTGGCTGCATCCTGCCACAGCCAGATGTACTGGCGACAACAGAGTTGACCTGTTGACCAGCCGCCATACAGCCCGCATAAACCCCCAAAGGGTGGCTTGACAAGCATCCTTGCTATGTTCTTTACTCAGTCAATATCGCTATAAGATGCTGTCCAGGCGCCGCACGCACTTGTGAGGGCCACAGCCGTGGATACGTGACAAGTGGTGCATGCAGGACGAAACGGGCGCCGCATGCGTGGTGAATTGCGGACCCGCCAGTTGCTCTTTTTCTTCAGCACACGCGCATGCGCTGGGTGGGGTGTCGCGCCACGCGTTCACACCAAAACTCCAAACCGCAGGGGCCGGCCGCGCTCGCGGTGCTGTGGCAACCAGTCCCGCGTCACCGGCGTTTTTTGCAACGCCGCGGCGCGGCGCGGCGTCTGGGAGGATTTTGAAACGCACCAACAATAGGGCAGCTTGTATACAGGAACGAAACCCGGCCATGAGTGCGATCAGCAGGCAGAGGGCTGCTTGGTGGTACATGGGTGGTGCATAGCCTACCCAGCGCAGGGCATACAGTGCTGGGGGCACGCAGCACCCGCCTCGCCGCGCCTTTCGCCGCCCGGGCAGCGGCACGTGGAAAAAGGAAAGCAGCAGAGACAGCGGAGAGCACGCACGCACACGGCGTCGCATGCGTGCGGCGAGCTTGCAAAGGCAGAGATAATCAACCGGGGTTGGGGGCCGAATCATCAAGCGCAAGGCCCGGCTGCCAAGGAACGCCGCGCCAGTCGTCGGCCGGGTCGGGACAGCACACATTGCGGCGGCGAAGCAGGGGCACGCCACCATAAGACAAGCCGATCGGGTGCGCGGCCCTCAAGAGAGTGAGGGGCGCGGGCGCAACCCTTGAGCAGCAGCAAGCAAGCTTTGACAAACCGACGCCGTGCAATCACGGCAGCCGTCGAAACGGCGTCAAGCCGCGCACAGCGCCGCGCAAACCTCAACCCATAACACCGCAATGAGGGCGCCACGCGCGGCCCCGCGCACGCTGACACATGCGCTCGGCGCGCGCTGCTGCACCCGGAGCAGCGCGGCCGCTGAGACCTGCGTGCGCAGGCCGGCTGCCGCGGGTACCGCGGCAGCGCGGCCTCCTAACCTTGAGCTCGCGCGGCGCCCCGCTGCTCCCTTCAGAGCCCCGCTGTGGGCGATCCGGCCACCGCTGCGGCCCGGACCGGCCCTGTGCTACCTCAGTCGCTGAGGATCTTCGTCGGGCCCCTTGCCTCGTTCGCCATCCGCCACAGCCGCGCGCTCTGCGCCGCCTGCGCCGCGAGCTTGGCCACGCGCGCCGCCTCGCTCGGCCGCCGCCCCGAGCCGCCGTCGGCCCCCTCGCCTGCGTACCCAGGCCCCCCGGTCGCCTCCTTTGCGCCGCTCCAGTCGACATGCTGATTGAACACCCCCGCCAGCCCGCCCCACGGCCCCTTGCCGGCGCCGGGGGCGCCGCCGAAGCCCGCGGTCGCCGCCGTCGTGCCGGCGCGCGCCTGCACGCGCGCGCGGGCGGCGGCCTGGCGGCGGTGCCAGGCCTTCGAGGCCTCGTGGAATACAGAGACGGCCAGGCCGCCGCGGCGCATCATCACGAAAGCATCGACGCGGTCCATCTGATGCGATGTTCCGATGCGGGACGCGAAATGCAATGGCGAGGGCAGCGGTGGGAGGCGAGGGTCGCAGGGACACGAGCGGTCGCCTGTGGGCGCGCTTTTTTCAAACGGCTGAGGGGCCGGGCATGGGGTACCGGGAGAGCGCGGGACGAGCGCGCAAGTGCGCCGCTGCCCATAATTTCAACGACGCACCTTGGAGAGGGCAGTCTCCAGGAGGGACAGCTGCGGCGAGGACACCTGGCGACACGGTGGGTGGGCCGGGGCAGGCGGAGGTGGGGCGGGGTGAGGCACACCAGCACGCACGAGCGCACGCCTGAGCTGCCGCCCTTGCGCCATGACGGGTTGCGGAAACACGCAAGCCCCTCGCCCTTCGTAATGTGCGGTGCCGCTACGCATCACGCCGTGTTCGTGTGCGCGTGGAGAGGCAATGTGCATCCATGAGCGTGTGTGTGATGTATGTGTGAGTGATGTATGTGTGTACCCATGTGTGTGTGTGTGTGTCATGCTGCTGCTCTCACCCAATGGATGCAGTCCACGGGGCAGGTCTCCATTGCAATCTGGACCTCCTCCTGCTGGTCTGGGCCCTGCAGTGATTGGGGGCAATTATGGAGGGTTTCGAGGGCGTGGATGGAGAGACGATCGAACGGAGCTCGATGGGGGGTTTGCGGGCAGAATGGCGCCGAGCAGGGGCGCCGCTCGGTGTGGGGCGCGGCGCGCTGCGCGGCTGGCGGCTGCGGTTGCGCGGCGGGCGGCGCCACGCCGGCTCACACCTGGGGTTGGTTGATTACGCGGGCGCGGCCTGGGGAAAGAGGTTGTGGAAGGAGGCCGTCAGCGGGACACACTTGGGAGTAGTAGAGGTGTGTCATGCTCGATAGCGTATACTGTTCCCATGGCATGCAGCCCCGGGGCACCTTGCCTCGGCCGTTTTTACAGCCGATCTGCGCCATGCCGACGGGCAGGCGGCGGCGAGAGGGCGCGCGCACGCTGGCGAGGGCGTGCGCACGGCGCTCACCGTACGTTGAGCCTTCAATTACGAAAGCCCGCGTGCAGGCGCGCACACACTTGCCGCAGCCTATGCACGACACCTCGTCCACAAAGACCTGCGCGCCCCAGGGGCGGTCCGAATCAGGCGGGGGCTCTGTTGCCGCGGGGGGCGTGCGGGGGCGGCGGCACGCCGCATCAGGCGGCCCGGAGCTCCTTGCCGCGGAGGCGGGCGGGGGCGCGGCACCAGCGGCAGCCCTGCTAGCCGCGGGACGTCGCGGCGGGGCGTCTCCAGGCGCGTTGACGAGCCCACGTCACCCGCAGTGGAGCACCCCACCCCACCAACCCTCCTGCACCCAGCGCTGGCAAGGGCACCAACCCCCCGTCCCCTGAAAATGCATCGCTTCGTGCCTCAACAGCCCTGCCAGCCGTCAACACCGCCCACCTGGTCTTTCTCAAAGCTCTCGTCAAAGAAGGGGTTGACGCTCTCAACGCTGAACCCCACAAGGGCGTCGTAGGTGGCCCTTGACTCAGAGTCAGTGAGTGTCTGGAAGTTGGGGTTTCAGGGTTTAAGGTTGAGGGTTTGGGTTTGAAACTTGACCACAACCCCGAAACTTGACCAAAACCCCGTCTCGAGGCGTGTGGCAGGGGTGGCAACAGGGAGGCGAGGTACGGTGCGGTGCTGTGATGATGCCGGGTGTGTGGGTAAGAGCCCGCGGGCGAGACAAAGGCAGTAGGTGCGCTTCGCGAGGGGTGGAGCCAACGCCGTCCCGCGCAGACGGCAGGCGCAAGCGGCGCCGCGCAAAAGCCGAGGCGTGAGCTGTGCTGCGCAACGACGAGCAGGCGCACCCAAGCTCCACCGCCGGCAGAGGTGAACACATAATGCTGGGCCCCGGCGCCAGCCGGGCGTCACCACCCGGGCGCCTCGGGCGTCACCGGCTCGCACCTGGTAGATCTCATTGAGGATGACGCACAGATCTGTCGTGTCGTAGTAAGCGTCCAGCTCGCCGCCGGCTGACGAGGACAGGCTGTTGGCCAGGGCGGTGTCTGGGTGGACCTGGGTTGGGGATTTGGGTTTTAAGGTGGGGACGCATGGGGTTATCAGGGACAGGGCGGCCGGGGTGAGGGATTGAATGCAGGGGCAGAGAAGGGGGATGAGTTTTGAAGTTGGAGGGGGGCGGAGGGAGTTTGCAGGCAGGGAGGGGGTGCGGGGGCACAAAGGGTGGGGGTTGTTTAAACAGCACTGCACGCGATCGGCGGCGGCAGCTTGCGGCAGCGCCCGCTGCGACAACAGGAGAGCGGTGCGCAGCGCTCGCAAAGCGTCGCAGGGCAGGGCTGGCACCCCCTAGCTCAAAGCGGGGCGCGTGCGGCGCCGCCCTGGGCTGCTGGCCTGCGTGGTCGACAAAAAGTGCACCGTCACACCTCTCGGATGAGGTCATAGTACGCCTTTTTTATCGTCTTGTTGTCCGCGGTGGGATGCACCCCCAGCAGCTCGTAAAACGAGAGGTCTGGAGCCTCTCCCAGGAAGGACGCGGCGGCAGGCGCGCGGGGCGCGCGCCAAGGAGCGGCGGCGGCGCGCGCGTAGCGCGAGGCAAGCAAGGGCGGGGCGCCGAGCCGTGGCTTCAGGGTGAGGCGGGCCTGGCCGTCGAAGGACACCGGTGATTTGATGCTGGCGAACATTGTGAAGATCGCAGACTTGGATGCGGTGCGTGCAACCAAGAAAGATCGCTTTGATGAGAGTTGTTCAAATCACGCAGCTCGGTATGAAAAACAAGGTATACGCCGATACACACACACGACTGTCGCCTCTTTTTAGGCAAGCGCCGCTGACGTCGTCTGATCCCAGTGGGTACTTTGCTGCGTCACTGCCGCCAACAGGCGCGCGTCTGGCGCGTGCACAGAACCGACGCGCAGAGCAGGATACGCACCCTCACATGAATCTGCATCGTTCCCTATCGTGGCGTGGCCGTGAATCGCGGAGCGCCGCTGCCGGCGTGCCCTTGACGGATGCGTCCAATCAAATCTGTGCGCTACTGCCAGTGACGTACCTGCTGCCCTCGCTCGCAATGCAATGACCCCTGGTAGCGTGCCACCTCTCCCACAGCCTCCATTGTGCGCCATGCTAGCTGCTGCGGCAACATGCCATCGCACTCATTTGTTGCAGCATGGTGACACGCCTGAACGCCGCCGCTCAGCACTGCTTGTCATTGCGGCCATGCTCACCCCAGAATCAGGCAAATGAGTCCTGGATCAAAGGGCGTTTGGCTGCCCGCTGCAGCCAACGGCATTGCCGGCACATGCGTTGCAGCTACAGGATGCAATAGATGTGCCTGCAGGGTGTGGCCGTCTCGGAAGGCTGGTATTGCCAGACCCTTTTGTCCCTGAGGGCAGTACCTGCCACACCGATTGCTCTGTGCCTCCGAAATCCTTGATCTCATTTGAGAGCGCCCTGCTTGCCTTCCCGGGTTGCCCAGGGCAATAGTATTCATTTGGATTATTGAAGGTACAGGTGGGACTTTGAGTTTGTGTTGAGGCTTCATCATATCGCTGCCATGCCTCATCAGCCCTCATCAATCCTAGTATCCATATCCATTGTGTCATGCCCCGGGTTGCATACTCTTGGGAGCTCTTGGACGGGGTCCGCCTTTTGAGAGTGTACGATGTACTAAAAAGAACGGTGACCACTTGGCCTATATTCACGGCATGTCCGGAAGAACAAGATTCCGTACTGTAAAGCAACTGATGAGTATCCCGCGTGATCCTCAACGTATGATCACGTCCAAAGCGCTGCAAGAGATCTGAGTTACGCGAGTTATAACCTAGAGCACAGCCATCCGCCCACCCGCCAGCGCCCGAGTCGCAGCCCCTCACTCACCTGGTGACACCCAAGTGACGCACACACACCTCATCACAAGCGGTAATCTGTCGGCGCCGCTGCGGCCGCAGTGCCTATAAACCCGCAACGAGGCCTCAGAACAAGCGTACTCCCGATTAGTTGTTTGCGTGACAATCTACTTCGCCCAAGGCATAAAGCCTCGACTATCATATCCATCGCAACCAACCCGGACCCCCTCGACTCGCTCCACGACCGCCGCCGGGCGCCGTCCGCCCTGCCAAGATGCCCGCGAATATGATGCCCCGCAGCGCACTGGCGCTGGCGCTGCTGCTCTCCGCCGTCCTCTCTGGCCTGGGCGCCGCCTCCGCGCAGGTGCGCCGCCTGCACCACCCCCACCCGCCC